TAACAAAAGGACAGAGGTTAAATTACTTCATTCCTAATGCAAAATGAATAGATTGTCCCAGTTGAGATTCTTCTTTAATTTAACAAAGATATTAATTTATACATATGATAGATTTGCTAGAAAATTTTCTTTGTTCAAAAGAAGTTTATCCAAAGATTAAAGGGACTGCCATGTGAGGCTCTGATTTCCCCCATCACTGTAAATGTTCCGGCAGGAGTAAACAGCTCATACCTAACAGATATTACTGAGTTTCATTGGCATTGATAACCAATGTGACAAATGTAATCCACTCTGTAATCTCATCCATATTGGATAAAAGGGCAGAATGCAGTTGTAGTTCAGGCAATTAACTACATAATCACTTTAGTTATAAACATCCTCTACATAGATATAAGAATTTAGTCAGTGCCTCTTAGCTTATAGTCAAAATGGAGAATGTAGGAGAGGATGGCAGCTTTTCTCCCTCTCACCTAGGAAGATTTTTCAAGACTATCTCAGGCAAGCAAATGTAGAAGACTGGAGATTCTCCACCTGTGCCAGTGAGCTTCTGTGATCATCCCTCTGCAGAGACAGAATCTGGAATGGACGTTTTTGTCATGTGACCAGACTTGGGTTTCCTGGCTTCTCAGTGCCAGATCTAAGAACCCATTGACTCTCATGGCTCTGATTTCCATTCTGAAGACACCTTGCAAAGGAACGCATGGCCAACCTCCCCAGACGTGAACAAAATGAACAGAAATTCTTCCTGCTGTGTCTCCTTGGAAGGAACACCAAGTCTTAATTTCATAAAATCAAGTAGGACTGTACACTTTTGAAACAGTTTATTTATCCTTCAGAGATTGTTGTCCCTCTCCTGCTGTTACATTTAAAGAAAATCCACCATGTCTTTTGTTTTCTTCCCTGTTACCAGAGTAGGTAAAGAAATTGAAGATTAGACTAGTTAGAAAAATTCACAGATTATAAATAGGGAATCAAAAGAATTTGGCTTCTGAGTGCAAGTCTCAGTGGCTGCATTGATGGCTGCTGACTTGCTGTCTCTGAGTAAGGCCATCTTGTTTATAAGAGTACAGTGGCATGGACAGTGTTTCTTGGAATATTTCCGTTATGTAACTTATGATACAGAATCTTCCTCAAAGTGTTGTCTTAATAACTAAATGAAAACATCCACATAAAGCACATAGCATAGTGCCTGCCCTACACTAGGTATTATTGATTATTATTCAAATTAAATACACCGGACTTTGACCTTTTCTGAAGCACCAAAAACCCTACAAATTAAAAAATAATAGTAGCCCAAATTTAATCTAATCTCTTGAAAGAAATACTTGTAATTGGTTCCAAGTGGCATGTCCCTCTAATTGGTATCAATCTACGAATCCCATCTGGAGTTGGCTCAAGTATTGCCTTAGAACCTCCTGCTCATAGATAGTGGTCCAGTGAAACAACAGCTGAGTGCAGTCAAGAGATGTGGCTTATTGTCTGAACTTTGACAACAACAAACTAAGTGATCATGACAAGCTCATTCCCATTTCTGATTCTCAAGTTTTCATGTGAGAAAAAAAAAAAAAAAAAATATATATATATATATATATGAACCCATTAACCCTCATGGCTCTTGATTCCTTTCTGAAGACACCTTGCAAAGGAACGCATGGCCAGGCCAAACTCCCCAGATGTGAATAATATCAGATATATACATATATATGATCACCAAGTTGTCCTATACATCAAGGACTTAGGAAATTATAAGGGTTCAAATGTCATTTCCAAGAATATCTTTCCTAAGAGTTCTGAAAAAGCTGAGAATTCTTCCCAGTGGTGAGGGATCTTTGAGAAAACACAGGGAGGAATAACGGCAGGGTCCTTTTCCAACTTGAAAGACCACAGGCGAGATCATAATTCCTTTAGAAGAATCCTTTTTAACATAGTGGACCAATTGGTCAATGACTCTCTTGGGATCCCCTCTGAGTAATTCTATACAGAGAAATAGAAAACAGCATTCAAGAAGACAACACTGTAGTTGAAAATGCAAGCTTTGCAAAGGAAAAAGGAGAGCAGTAAAAATAAGTGTAATTAATTAAGTAACAGTAGGAAATATTCATACAGGATTATCATGTGCGAGACACTATTCTTATCACTATTAATTCATTTCATTCTCCCAGGAACTCTTATAAGATAATCCCCATTATTATATCCATTTCCTAGATGAGGAAACTGAGACATAGGATTCAAATCTAGGTAGTCCAGTTCTCGGCTAGTCCATGCTCACAACTAAGAGATAAAAGGATGAGAAGGGCAAGGGCAAACAGCACAGGGGACAAGAGTCTCTAACTTCGGCAGATGGGAGCACACAGCTAACCTAATATAGCTATGAGCCAGTGTTCAGACTTTCACAAGTCAAAGGAAAGGAAATGAATCACCACTCAAGCTCAGTCCCCTGTCATCCTGAGCCAATTAGGAATTTTCTTTTCATAGTTCTGCTCTCTTGCATTTTCAAAGTAACAATGCAGTCCATTCTGATATACAGTATTTTATGTTTGATTGAAATCAACTTCACATATATTACAAGGTTCTTCTTTTATGTGGCTGTGTTATGGACTGAAATTCAAACATGAAAATAAGAGAATGCTTGAGCATAGCAAAAAGGTTCTTCTTTTAGATGGCTGTGCTATGCACTGAAGGCTAAACATGAAATAATAGAATACTTTAGCATCATAAAGTGTATTAACATTCCCATTTGACAAGCAAGAAAAGTGAGGTTCAAAGAAATTAGATTTTCTAATGAAATGAAATGCTAGCATATCTAGATACGAAGTAAGCCTTCCCACTTTGCATCCACCCAACTGGCCATCTGAAGAAAACAGAAAACCATATTCATCTTTAGTCTAGAGCCTAGACAAATTATAATTGTATGACATTTTGTAAGTCTTAAGTAAGAAACATTCAGGGAAGTAGTCAGACTCAAGCTTAGGATCTATAGGAAAGGACCTTTTCATGGTGATAATGGGCTAATAATGGAAAGAAACCCTTTGCACAGGGGTGAGCTGTCAGGCACAGGGTGTTTTCTAGTTGAGGGTGTTTAAAACCCTAGGACTCCCCGCCCATGCCCAGAGAAAAGAAATCGACTTCCCTGGATAAAGCAGAAAAGGTCGCCCCATGATAATTAACAGACATTTGAGCAGACTTCAGGGATGTTAGAGAAAGGATTTCTGAACTGGCAAGACAATGGTCTATTACAAGCCCAGTATGCTGTGATGAGGATGGTAATGAAAAAGAAGAAAAGGATCGTGAGAACAATTAACTACACTGAAAATATTATTGTTGTTTTTGAAATTCTATTATCACATCTGTATAACCAAGCTCGTCTGAAATTAATCAGCCAGCCAATGAAAAACAATTAAATCTTGTGTAATTGGTAGTTAAAGGAAACTCAGACCCGTCTTTCTTTGAATTAGCAGCTCTCTGGCTAACTCATTTATTTTCAAGCTGCTATGTGTGGATCTCTACGTTTGTGCCCTGTTTTAGGCAGCACTACTGGTAGCTATGAATAACGTGGGTTTTCTGTGCTTTTTATCAGGGTGCCTCACAGTGATTCTTCAGAGCCCATGTGCCTGGTTCCCCTCTAGAGACCAAGCAGGTTGCTAGCCAGTGGGCAGAGGCCTCAATACAGGGGAGTAGAAAAAGTACTGCCCTGGGAACACAATTACTGCGCAGGCCTGAGTGGCAGGATGCTTCACCTATAGGAGTTTGAGTCTAAAATGCAGACCACACCAAGAAGTCAGCAGGAGAATAAAAATTGCATTAACTATTGATTACAACACCATATCAACAATAGGTTGGACTACTTTTAGGATCTTATTGACCTGACTGAAACCTTGTCTTGGTATTGTGGACATGGAGCCCAGAGTGTTGGGAGAGCTCTATTTGCTGGCTTCCTGTATGATGTAACTGTGAAATTCAAATCAGGGATTGTGAAAATCCAGAGTGAGTCTTAGCTTTCTGTTTCCTCCTCTCCCACCCCCAAGAAATGACCAGCATGCTATGTGATCAAGGCAAGTTATCAGATTTCTCTCACATTAAGGTAAAATGAGGAGCTTGGTTTTGGCTAATTCTAAGGTCTTTCTCAGTTTAAAAAAAAAAAAACCTTTTCTCCCTCTGAAAGAAGTAGATTTATTCCTCTGCTCAGTGACTGTAGGATGGTTCAAGAAACTAGGCAAAAGTAAGGGAAGTGCACATTCAATGATGACCTTCTAGAAGCTTTTAATGTTGGACAATGAAATTACTGAGGACTCTGGGTAATCAAAATAAAGTTACCACCATTCCCCAGGGCTGCCTTGAGCATTCACAGAAGGGCATCAGACATATTGGTCTATCAGTCTTGGTTTCTCTTGTGTGAAATGAAGGGCTGCCCTAGCTGGAGCTCTCTTAGGCTGCTTTCTATTCTAAGATTCTTTGAATTTATTTTCAAACTTTTTTTTAACAAAAAAAAAAAAAAAAAAAGAAAGAAAGAAAAAAAGGAGGCAGAAAGACTCCTGGTAAAATATTTCCCTGTTCCAAAACCTAACAAGAAACAGAGCAAGATCCTTAAATGACTTAAGTTTACTCATGAAGAAAGTCAATGTGAACTTGATTTGCTGCATATATGGATGTGTGCTCTTCTGTTTTGTCAAAATGACTTTAGTTGTATTAAGATATTAAGATGTCAGTTTTTACAAGTTCTCACAGGGAAGGAAAGAGCTGGATAAGCTCATACAAAGCCCCCCTTCCCTTGTATTCACTGCTGGGTTTTCACAGGAAGGCTGGTGGGAGGAATGGAGAATGTCCTACTCTGTGACTGTTTTATTAAAATATGGGCTCCTCTTAATTTTTTAAAAAAGAATTGGATTGCCTTGTTTCCTCTTGATGTCTCCTTCAACCCCAAATACTGGTAAAACTTAACTCTTCCCAAAGCTCAACTCTGCTGCAAAGTAATTCATTCTCCTTTTTTTTTTAAATTACAGTATTCTCAAATGAGGGATGAAGTATTCAAGTCAAACTTGGTGTGTGCGTTTATTGTTCTCCTGTTTATCACGGCAATACAAAGTTTGCTTCCTTCTTCAAGGTAAATATGAAAGAACTAATTTATCGGGTGAAATGTCTCTGTGAGATTATAGTCCCTTACCTGGGGCCAGCCAGCTAACTTTATAAGGGATCAGAATTTAAAACAGCTGGGTCCAAGACCCATCTCCAAATGTTTGGCAATATCAATGTTTATTCTGATTGTCTTTCTCAGCATAATAATCTCATTACTCTGCCACGGCTAGAGTTTTTTTCCCATTCTCAATAAAAACAACAACCAAATGTAAAATAGGCCCCACTTTTATTTGACATTATACCCCAAAATGCAGAAAACAATATAAAAGCCTCAGTCACTCTTGATGAATTTGCTTGTTAATATGAGTTGTTCGTAGATAACAGCTTTATAGCTTCCTAGGTGAGCAAAATTGGCACTTAATGATCTTGCAAACACATGTGACCAGTCATTGCTCCAAATATTTTACATACAATAACTCCTGAAATCCCCACAACAACCCTATGAGTCTATGGTTCTATGCTTCTTCTCACTTTAAGGAGGGCTCAGAGTAATGAAATAAGTTTCCCAAGGTCTCACAGTTGAAAGATGTTACAACCTGGATTCAACCCAGGATTCTAGCTCTAGAGCCTGGATTTTTAACACTCTTTCAGGCACATGCTTACATTGTCCAAGTGATATGTGTAGGTGCCGTAGCAGGGATTTGAACCTGGTTCTGGATTAGTCCAATTGCCTGCTTTTTTCCACTCCTACACTGTAAACTGCTCCTCCCTCTTTTTTCAGCCAAGTTGGCTTCTCTCTAAAATTACCATGAGGTTTCTCCTTTCACATGGCTAAAAATAACATCAACAAATACTTTTAAATATTTAATATAGGCAGAGCAGCATGCCAGCCCCTGTGGATGGCATAATTTTACAAAAGGAGGTCTGTACTGTTTAAGATTATTTAGTGAGAGACAGAGACATTAACAACAGCTCCCAATACCTGAGTACGTACTTAAGTACCAAAGGCTGTGTACAAAGTCAAAAAAGCCTCAGAAGTAACCAAAAAATGAGGCAGAATTTTAATTCTCATTTTATAGATGGGGATTTATCTCACAGATATTGAAGATTTATCAGACCTGAAATTTGGACCTAGAGACAGGGTCTGTGCTTTTAACCACACTAACCTGCTTTGCACCCAAAGCAGAGATTCATTCTTTCCCATGGTTCAAGAGAAAAAATTGTGAAAATGCATAATTTTGAGTTGGAACAAGGGAGAATAAGTGGGATAGAATTCCTATTTAGAAAGAAGGATTGACAAAGGCACAGAAGTCTGAAAGACCTTGTGTTTGTAGAACAGTGAGTCAACAGGAGAACACAAATAGGATTTGTGCACGGATGTGGTTGGTGGGCACTAAGACTGAACGAGCGGCGAGTGGTGTGCTAGCAGATTCAACCTCCATAACTATGTTAAAGACTTTAAAATTAATCCTGGGGACAGGAAGCAGCCCGTGAAGGTTTTTAGGAAGGTTGTAGCATGATGCTGTGAGAGAAAGATGTTTGAGTTAACTGCCACTCAGGGAATGGCAATGTTTGAATTTTTCTGGATTGTCGAGGGACATGAAGAGAAGGAGAAAGGGGTTCCAGAAAGATGGAGACAGAAGTGACATATTTCTGAATCTCTCAGAATTCTGACAACTAGATAACAAAACCAAAAACCTAATATACTATAACAAGAACATAAAAATAATCCAATAAAAAATAAATGAAGTTAAATAAAATGCTTCTCTTTCCTTGTTCTTAGTTAATACAAAGCATAGCTGTTGGCTTAAACCAAGAACATTAACAATGTACTTGGTGATTATAAATATGGATGAAAGTGAGCTGAGTGATAAGATTGTCACAAGATACATGAGAATTGAGAGTGCTTTGGTTTAAGGTACCTGCATTATACATCAGGTGATATGGGGTTATTTGAAGGTAGACTTAGATTAATTAAAAATGTATATTGTAAACTCTTCAGTAAACACTAAAAAAAAAAGAAATGTAATCAATATGCTAAGAAAGGAAAGAAAATTAAATACACAATTGATATTAGAAAACATGCAAAACAAGATGAACAGAGAATAATGCAATGGATGAAAAATAATTACAAAGATAATAGATATTAATCCTACTTTAAAAATAAGTACTTTTAGATGTTAAGTATCTAAACACACCAATTGAAAGACAGAGCTTGTCAGACTGGACAAAAACAAGACCCCACCTACATATTGTCTACAAGAAGCCCTCTATAGATATTAAAACTCAAATGAGTTAAAAGAAATGTAGAAAGACATACCATGCTACCATGGTGGAAGTAACTATATTAATTTCAGACCAAACAGACTAAGAACCAGGAAAATTATCAGAGATAAGGATGGAAATTACATAATGATAAAAGGGTCAATTCTCCAAGAAGAACTAACAATATGAGCATTGATGCACCTAACAAGAGAGTATCAAAATATCCAAGGCAAAACCTGACAGAACTGAAAAGAGAAATAAATAAATTCACTATTACACTTGAAGACTTCAATATCTGTCAGTAATTAATAGATCATGCAGGCAGGAAATCATTAGGGACATAAATAACCTGAACTTATCTAATCAATATTTATAGATTACTCCACCCAACAAAAGAATACACATTCTTCTCAAACTCACATGGAACATTCACCAAAGTAGACAACATTCTGGGCCACCAGCTATACCTTAACAAATTTAAAGAATAAAAATCATGCAAAGTACATTTCAGATTGCAGTTGAATTAAACTAGAACTCAATGACAAAAATATAGCTGGAAAATCCTTTTTAAAAACTTGGTGAATAAATAACACAGCTCTAAACAACATATGAGTGAAAGAACAAATTTCAAGAGACATTTTAAAATATCTTGAACTAAATAAAAATACAACTTACCAAATTTGTGGGATGCTGTGGAAGCAGAACTTAGAGGGAAATTTATATTAAACGCATATGTTAGAAAAGAAAAAAGATCTAAAATTGATAATTCAAGCTTTTACCTTGATGATCTATGGGGGGAAAAGCAATTTAAACCTTTAACAAAAAGGAAAAAATAAATCATACCAATTAGGGTAAAAACCAATGAAACTAAAAACAGGGAAACAACAGAGAAAATCAACAAACATAAAATCTGGTTTTCTGATAATATCAATAAAGATGATATCCACTAACCAAGCTAATCAAGAAAAAAAGTGAGAAGACACAAATTACCAGTGTTACAAATGAAAAAGAGGCTCTCACTGTGATTCCATGAGCATTAAAATAATAAGAAAATAATGCTACAAACAACTCTATGTCCACAAATTTAATAATTGGGTGAAATAGACCAATTTTCTAAAAGACTCAAACTATCCAAATTCACAGAAGAAGGAAAAGAAAACCTAAATAGCCTTTTATCTATTAAATAAATTGAATCATTAATTTAAAACTTACAAAAAATAAAACACCTGACCCTGATAGTTCCATTGGTGAATCTACCAACATTTAAAGAAAAAATAATGCCATTTCTCCACAACCTAAAAGAAAGGGAACAGTTTCTGACTCATTTTATCAAGCAATCAGTATCCTGATTCTGATACCAAACCCCAGGAAGGACATCAAAATAAAGAAAAACTATGGACTAATATCTCTCAAAAACATAAACACAAAAACTCTCAGCAAAATATTAGCAAATGAAATTCAATAAATGCATAAAAAGATTGATACAACATGACCAAACAGAATTTCTTCTAGTTATGCAAAGTTTATTCAACATTTTGAAATCAAACACTAGTAACTCACCATATTAGGTGAAGAAGAAAAATCATGTGATCATATCAATTGACAAAGAAAAAGGATTTGATAAAATCCAATGTCCATTTACGATTTAAAAAAAAAAAAAGACTAAGAATGCAAAGGAACTTCTGCAACTTAGTAAAGAACATGTACAAAAAAACCTACAGCTAACATCATCCTTAATGGCATGAGACTGGAGCTTTACCCCTAAATCAGAAACAAGAAAGGATCTACTTTCTCACCACTCCTATTTAATATCATATCAGAAGTCCTAGATAGTGAAGTAAGACAACAAAGAGAAATAAAAAGCATACAGATTACAATGGAAGAACTGAAACTATCAACAAATAACATGAGTTTCTATTAGAAAAATCCCAAAAGAGCCACCAAAAAACTCCTAAAACTATTAACCAAGGTCATAGAATACAAGATCAATATACAAAAGTCAATGGCTTTCCTTTATATTAGGAATTTACAACTGAAATTTCTAAGTTAAAAAAGAACAATAATACTTACAACGGCACCGAAAATAAAATACTTAGCAATAAAGTATTAATAAATAATACAAAAATAATAAATAAAATAAATCTAACAAAATATGTATAAAATATGCTTGTAGTAGTCTAAAAAATACTGATGAAATAAATCAAAATGTACGTAAATGGAGAGATACTCTGTGTTCATGGATTGGAAAACTTGATATTGTTAAGATGTCAGCTCTTCCTAGCTGGATCTATAGATCAGTGTCAATCAAAACCCCAGTAAACTATTTTGTAGTTATCAACAAACCAATGCTAAAGCTCATACAAAAAGACAAAAATATATAGCATAATCAACACAATACCATAAAAGAATACAACAAAGCTAGAGGATTCACACTACTTGATTTTAAGACTTACTATAAAACTACAGTAACCAAGACAGTGTACATTAATAAAAAATAAAAAAATAATAAAAATAAAAGAGCTAAAATAACTCTCCTAAATTCATCAGACGTGGGAGTTGAAATGTATAAAGCTTTAAGGAGATTTTCAATTTAAAAATTTGTAAACAGTTAACTATCCAATTAATTGGTTTTCCAAGTATTATATATATACACATATATATATATATATTTATAAAAGACAGTGCCCATTGAAGAAAAAAGAGACAAATAGCTAAATAGAGGCTAAAATAGACCCATATAAATATAATGTACTTTCACCTCAT